TATCTTCTGGTTTTAAAGGATGAGCTATAAGCTGTGTGTTTTTCTGTTCTAATGTGTCGTTTATTACTTTTTGTACCATGAGTAAAATTTGAGGTGTTTTGCAAGAACCATCAAAAAAAAAAAAAAAAGAAAGAAAGAACACATTAAAAATGAATTACATAAACAGATAAAAGAAGAAATTAAGCATCTTTATCAGGAGATAGAGATTATAAAAAAAATCAAACAATAATTCTAGAAATGAAGGAAACTATAAACCAAATTAAAAACTCAAATGAGAGTATCACTAACAGAGTGGAGCAAGTAGAAGCCAGAACGTCAGATAATGAAGACAAAATATATCATCTTGAAAAGAGTCTAGCCAACTCAGAAAGGCTGGTAAAAAATCACAAGGAAAACATCCAAGAGATATGGGATAACATAAAAAAACCAAACTTAAGAGTCATCAGGATAGAGGAAGGTATAGAGGTTCAAATCAAGGGAATGAGCAACCTGCTGAATGAAATAATTATAGAAAACTTTCCAGAAATAAAAAAGGAAACGGATATACAAATTGTGGATGCATACAGGACACCGAGCATACAAAATCACAGTAGACCAATGCCAAGACACATTGTTATGAAGATATACAATATACAGAACAAAGAGAAAATATTAAAAGCTACAAGAGAAAGGAGGCAGATTACATTCAGGGGTAAACCAATAAGGTTAACAACGGATTTTTCATCACAGACGCTGAAAGCGAGAAGATCCTGGAACAACGTATTTCAAACACTGAAAGACAATGGATGCCAACCAAGAATTTTGCATCCAGCAAAATTAAGCTTCAGGTACAACAACGAAATAAAAATCTTTCATGATAAACAAAAGTTAAAAGAATTTGCAGCCAGAAAACCAGCATTGCAAAGCATCTTGAGCAAAACACTATATGAGGAAGAAATGAAAAACAATAACCAAAACCATCAGTGGGAAGTGCCTCAGTAAAGACAGAGGGCGGGGGGAAAGCTAATCATGGAGAAACAAACTAAATTAAAAAAAACAGATAAATAATCAAACATGGCTGGAAGTACAAACCATCTATCAATAGTAACTCTAAACGTTAATGGCCTAAACTCTCCAATAAAGCGACATAGGCTGGTAACATGGATTAAAAAAACAAATCCAACAATATGCTGCCTCCAGGAGACACATCTGATTGGAAAAGACATACACAGGCTGAAGGTGAAAGGCTGGGAAAAAATATACCACGCACACGGTCCTCGTAAGCAAGCAGGGGTGGCCATCCTCATATTGAATAAAATTGACTTCAAGACTAAGTTAATCAAAAGGGATAAGGAAGGACATTATATACTGTTAAAAGGAACCATTCCCCAATAAGACATAACAATTATCAATATTTATGCACCAAATAATGGTGCTGCGAAGTTCATAAAAAAATTCTCCTCAAGTTCAAGAATCAAATAGACCACAACACAATAATTATGGGTGACTTCAACACACCTCTCTCACCATTGGACAGATCCTCCAAACAAAAGTTGAATAAAGAAACTATAGAACTCAATATCACAATCAATAACCTAGACTTAAGTGACATATATAGAATATATCAACCATCATCAAGTGGATATACTTTTTTCTCAGCAGCACATGGATCCTTCTCAAAAATAGACCATATATTATGCCATAGGGCAATCCTCAGTAAATATAAAGGGGTGGAGATAATACCATGCATTTTATCTGATCATAATGGAATGAAACTGGAAATCAATGATAAAAGAAGGAAGGAAAAATCCTACATCACATGGAAAATGAACAATATGTTACTGAATGATCAATGGGTTACAGAAGACATAAAGGAGGAAATCAAAAAATTCTTAGAGATAAATGAAAATACAGACACAACATATCGGAATCTATGGGACACAATGAAAGCAGTTTTAAGAGGGAAATTCATTGCCTGGAGGTCATTCCAAAAAAAAAAGAAAAAACCAACAAATAAATGAGCTCACACTTCATCTCAAAGCCCTAGAAAAGGAAGAGCAAAACAACAGCAAATGTAACATAAGGCAAGAAATAATTAAAATCAGAGCGGAAATCAACGAAATGGAAACAAAAGAAACTTTTGAAAAAATTGACAAAACTAAAAGTTGGTTCTTAGAAAAAATAAATAAGATCGCCAGACCCTTAGCCATGCTAATGAAGAGAAGAAGAGAGAGAACTCAAATTACTAACATACGGGATGAAAAAGGCAACATCACAATAGATACTACAGAAATACAGAAGATAATTAGGAATTATTTTGAAAACCTATATTCCAATAAAATAGAAGATAGTGAAGACATCAATAAATTTCTTAAGTCATATGATTTGCCCAGACTTATTCAGGAGGATACACACAATTTGAACAGACCAATATCAATGGATGAAATAGAAGAAGCAATCAAAAGACTACTAACCAAGAAAAGCCCAGGACCGGATGGGTATACAGCAGAGTTTTACAAAACCTTTAAAGAAGAATTAATACCAATACTTTTCAAGTTATTTCAGGAAATAGAAAAAGAGGGAGCTCTTCCAAATTCACTCTATGAGACCAACATCACCCTGATTCTGAAACCAGACAAAGACACCTCAAAGAAAGAAAACTACAGACCAATATCTCTAATGACCCTAGATGCAAAAATCCTCAATAAAATTCTGGCGAATCGGATACAAAAACACATCAAAAAAATTGTGCACCATGATCAAGTAGGATTCATCCCTGGGATGCAAGGATGGTTCAATATACGGAAATCAATAAATGTTATTCACCACATCAATAGACTTAAAGATAAGAACCATATGATCATCTCGATCGACGCAGAAAAAGCATTCGACAAAGTACAGCATCCCTTTATGTTCAAAACATTAGAAAAACTAGGGATAACAGAAACTTACCTCAACATTGTAAAAGCTATCTATGCTAAGCCTCAGGCTAGCATCATTCTGAATGGAGAAAAATTGAAGGCATTCCCTCTAAAATCTGGAACAAGACAGGGATGCCCTCTCTCACCACTTCTATTCAATACAGTTCTCGAAACACTGGCCAGAGCAATTAGACAGACGAAAGAAATTAAAGGCATAAAAATAGGAAAAGAAGAACTTAAATTATCACTATTTGCAGGAGACATGATTCTATACCTAGAAGACCCAAAAGGGTCTACAAAGAAACTATTAGAACTAATAAATGAATTCAGCAAAGTGGCAGGATATAAAATCAACACGCATAAATCAAAGGCATTTCTGTATATCAGAGACAAAACTTCTGAAACGAAAATGAGGAAAAACACCCCATTCACAATATCCTCAAAAAAATTAAAATATTGGGAATCAACCTAACAAAAGAGGTGAAAGATTTATATAATGAAAACTACAGAACCCTAAAGAGAGAAATAGAAGAAGATCTTAGAAGATGGAAAAATATACCCTGTTCATGGATACGCAGAACTAACATCATCAAAATGGCGATATTAACAAAAGTTCTCTATAGGTTTAATGCAATGCCCATCAAAATCCCAACGGCATTTCTTGTAGAAATAGATAAAGCAATCATGAAATTCATATGGAAAAATAAAAGACCCAGAATAGCAAAAGCAACTCTAAGCAGGAAGTGTGAATCAGGCAGTATAGCGAAACCAGATTTCAAACTATATTACAGAGCAATAGTAACAAAAACAGCATGGTACTGGTACCAAAACAGGCGGGTGGACCAATGGTACAGAATAGAGGACACAGAGACTAATCCACAAAGTTACAACTATCTTATATTTGATAAAGGGGCTAAAAGCATGTGATGGAGGAAGGATAGCATCTTCAACAAATGGTGCTGGGAAAACTGGAAATCCATATGCAACAAAATGAAACTGAATCCCCTCCTCTCGCCATGCACAAAAGTTAACTCAAAATGGATCAAGGAGCTTGATATCAAATCAGAGACTCTGCGTCTGATAGAAGAAAAAGTTGGCTCCAATCTACATATTGTGGGGTTGGGCTCCAAATTCCTTAATAGGACACCCATAGCACAAGAGTTAATAACAAGAATCAACAAATGGGACTTACTTAAACTAAAAAGTTTTTTCTCAGCAAGGGAAACAATAAGAGAGGTAAATAGGGAGCCTACATCATGGGAACAAATTTTTACTCCTCACACTTCAGATAGAGCCCTAATACCCAGAGTATACAAAGAACTCAAAAAATTAGACAATAAGATAACAAATAACCCAATCAACAAATGGGCCAAGGACCTGAACAGACACTTCTCAGAGGAGGACATACAATCAATCAACAAGTACATGAAAAAAATGCTCACCATCTCTAGCAGTCAGAGAAATGCAAATCAAAATCACCCTAAGATACCATCTCACTCCAGTAAGATTAGTAGCCATTATGAAGTCAAAGAACAACAAGTGCTGGCGAGGATGTGGGGAAAAGGGTACTCTTGTACATTGCTGGTGGGACTGCAAATTGGTGCAGCCAATTTGGAAAGCAGTATGGAGATTCCTGGGAAAGCTGGGAATGGAACCACCATTTGACCCAGCTATTGCCCTTCTTGGACTATTCCCTGAAGACCTTAAAAGAACGTACTACAGGGATACTGCCACATCGATGTTCATAGCAGCACAATTCACAGTAGCTAGACTGTGGAACCAACCCAGATGCCCTTCAATAGATGAATGGATAAAAAAAAAATGTGGCATTTATACACAATGGAGTATTATGCAGCACTAAAAAATGTCAAAATCATGGAATTTGCAGGGAAATGGACGGCATTAGAGCAGATTATGCTAAGTGAAGCTAACCAATCCCTAAAAAACAAATGCCAAATGTCTTCTTTGATATAATGAGAGCAACTAAGAACAGAGCAGGGAGGAAGAGCAGGAGGAAAAGATTAACATTAAACAGAGACATGAGGTGGGAGGGAAAGGGAGAGAAAAGGGAAATTGCATGGAAATGGAAGAAGACCCTCATTGTTATACAAAATTACATATAAGAAGTTATGAGGGGAATGGGAAAAAAAACAAGGAGAGAAATGAATTACAGTAGATGGGGTAGAGAGAGAAGATGGGAGGGGAGGGGAGGGGGACATAGTAGAGGATAGGAAAGGTAGTAGAATACAACAGTTACTAATATGGCATTATGTAAAAATGTGGATGTGTAACCAATGTGATTCTGCAATCTGTATTTGGGGTAAAAATGGGAGTTCATAACCCACTTGAATCTAATGTATGAAATATGATATGTCAAGAGCTTTGTAATGTTTTGAACAACCAATAAAAAAAATAAAATTAAATTAAAAAAAGGAGATACTGTAGACTCAAGAAAAAAAGCACAGCATAGTGGTGGGCAGTAGAAGTCATGGTAAAGAACCTTGAAAGTAAGTGCCATCAAAACAGGACATGTCCCTCTGACGTGTGCTTTTTTTTTTTTTTTTTTTTTTCCTTTTTGCTCATGAGTTATAATCATATATAACAGTGGGATTCATTGCTGCCTATTCATACATACACACAATATAACAGTATAACTTGATCCAATTCATTCTCCAGTATCTCCCTTATCCTCCCTTCCTCCCACCCCTGGTCCCCTTCCTCTATTCTACTGGTCCTCTGCCATTCTTTAAGCCAGGCATACCTCTCCCAGGAATAAATGATCAAGGGATAAAATCACTCAAAGCCTGTCAAAGATAAATTATATCAATTTCTGCCATTCCTATAGGACTCTTAGGTACAGTCATTTCACTCTTATTTAACCTCCAAACTCAAGAGGGACCCAGTTTTCAGAAAAGCTCAAAGGAGCTAAGTGATTCATGCAAGGTTGCAGGTTACAACCACAGGAGCCACCCTTCCAAGTCTATCCACATCATCTATCTGAGGAGTTGTGTTTCTTCAACTTGGTCATGAGCATACTTACAGAATTCTTTTCCACCTTCAGCTTGGTAAAATATGGTGTAGCTGCTGATAAAACCTCTTCTCTCACTCTTGGGAATCTCTTCCCATGTAATTGTAACTGTGTTCACACCAATATTTTCTGCCTTGGTTATAGGACCCCTCCATGGAGCTTGAGAGGACAGAAAGATAAATGACCAAATGGAAACACACTCCAGCAGATCCTTTCCCCAAAGAGGCCCTGTCCCTACTCAAACCAAAACCACAGTCCTTGAAGTGCAGAATGGAGGTTGAGGAGGGAACTGATGAGTCACCCTATTTGGAAGGATTGTTTTCTGCAATCATGCATCTTAAATAATAAGAAAAGTTGTATCAAAGACCATAGGGAAAAATACTTTATTTATATACCCCTAGCTCCAATGAGGCATCCAGTTCTTTCATTTATATGTGTTAAGTGTAGCTATTTTCAAGTAATTGAACACTGCCTCCACGGGCTACCTTTGCACATATAGCAGGAGTTATTTTCTAACATTGAATCTGGAATATGTTAACTTCCACAGAGGTAAAAATAAATCTGATCAATTTGCTACTAAAGCACTTATTACATTAAAAAAATTAAGGGGAATGAACGGAAGGTAGGGGAATGGGAATAGGAAAGATAGTACAATGAATCAGACATTACTATCCTAAATGTGTATATGATTATACAATCAGAAGAATGAGAAGTTATACTCCATATAGGTATAATATGTGAAAATACATTCTACTATCATGTATAACTAGTGAGAAAAAATTGAAAAATAATTTTTAACATGTTTAACTTGTGATGAACTCTATAGGGTCCCTGAGTTGGTCTTCATTATTATTTCTGGTTGCAGCTCCATTTGCACTAAATTTTTTGGTGACTTTGAGAAAGTTGTTTCACCTCTCTGAGTCTCAGTTTTCCACTTTTGAAGTGAGAGAATTGAACTTGATGATCTTCAATGTCTACCCCACCTATAAAATCTAGTGACTCTATAACCTGACCCCAATATATCCAACACAGAGATGGCTACAAGATAGAAGTGCTGCACAATTGGATCTTCAGGCAACCATGAATGAGCTATAGACATTCACAACATTCTCTGAATATTGGACAGTCCCCATGGTTTCCCTTCACCCACAGGGCCTTGTTCATACATACCACATTCTTTAGCATACACCTGGATGGAATATGGTTCTCCCACTAGGTCTTGGATCAGTGGATACACAGAGATGTTATAGAGGTGAAAAGGTTTTAATTTATCTATATCAAAAAAAGGAAAGAAAGGGAAAAAAAAACTAAGCTAATTGTAGAGTATGGCAGAGTAGAAGGAATGCTTAATGTCTAAGACCATAACTTGGAAGATATTTCAATGTTCCAACGGAAGATACTTCATTTCTCTACAATTTCCTTGATGAACTATAATGTCTATTTTTGTTCTAAGAATTTCTAATTAATTCTTAGAATTAAACGCTGTACTACTCTGATAAAATTACAAAACCATCCAAGTAAGATATCCAGTCCCTTCTCCATTACTGATTTTATCATATGATTTGGGGCAGTGCAGAATAAATTTAATCCTTTTGGCAATAGCACATCACCCTGGAGAACTGAGATACCATGAATTCTGGCTCCTTTGCCTGCCTGCATTCCCTACATGAGTGTAATTTTTTTTTGGTACCAGGTCATTTAACCACTGAGTCACATCCCCAGTACCCCCTTTTTAAATTTTTCATCTTGAGACAGGGTCTCACTAAATTGCTTAAGGCCTCCCTAAGTTGCTGAGGCTGGCTTTGAACTTGTGATCCTCCTGTCCCAGCTTCCCAGGCTGCCAGGAGTACAGGCATGTACCACCACACCTGACTAGTATAATTCTTAGTATAGGTGCCATTACTAATGAAGGCCACTAAGCATTCAGAAATGGCTAGAGTGATAAGCTAAAGCCTCACTTATACATCTTGCATAGGGCAGGGACTTACTTGAAAATCAGCAATTCCCTATATCAGTCACCTGAGAAAGGGACCTTAACCAGGTCCTTAACCAGGCAGCAAAAACAGAAGGGAGTATCCTAAGTAGGACAGATAGTATCCAAACTGTGGTGTTATCCCCAAGATGATCAAGATATCTGGGTGTTAGGATAGTGTTTTCATCTGCGCCTGGATACAGGGAAAGGCTCCATGTTCTGAGACCCACAGTTTTCTGTGCCAGCGATACTTGGGAAATGCCAAACAGTGTGACACTTCAGTAAGCTTGTACAAGCTTGTCAAATGCTACTAACTACATTTACAGTTTTGAAGCCAAAGTTAAAAATTTAAAAGCTGATTAAAATGAAACCAAATCCTGCACAGAGGGAACTTGAAGGTTTGGCACCAGTTACCTTGTGGAATTGTCCAGTTCCTGGCCTGAGACACAGATTCCCAGGAGATGTCAGAGGGCTCTGAGTCCAAATCTGGGAACCACTCAACCATCCATGTGTCCACCATTGGAGCGGAGCTTTGCCATTCCACCACCAGCAGGTCCTGGGCAAAGTAGGCCTGCATGGCCTCAATGCACTGAAATGCTAAAAGACGACACAAAGACTGCTTCACAGCTGCTTGACCCAATGCCCCAACCACTTGGCATCCAATTATTGCCCAAATTGTGAAAGAAGGTCAAAGTTCAGGACTTCCACTACAGCCTCCCCTGAAGAGTTTGGAGGCAGCATGGCTCAGTTAACACCTTTAGACTTCTAGCCACCAGAACTATGAGACAATAAATTTCTCTTGTTTTAAGGCACATGGTTTGTGGTATTTTGTGACAGCAGTTATGGGACACTGAAAAGCACCCTTGGCTCAGTCTTCTCCCCTACCTGGCCTGTTTTCCCTTGTTTGCAGTTCTGATCTTTCCAGAGACATTTTTCTTAATAAATGATTTGCCCACAGATCCTGACCTGAAAATGAGCGAGCACTGGTTGAAAAAACCACACTCCTTCTGCTCACCAAACCAGGAGTTATGAGAAATAGGAGGAGCCAGGTCTAAAGTGCCCAGTGTGCTAACAAGATTGAGGAGATCATGAGAGGCAGGGAAAGAGTTCCAAGAGGCCATGTGGCAATTATAAAAGAGGAAAGGCCTTGCCTTACTGGGGGATTTTCAAAAAGAATTTTCCAAATCATTCTACTGAATATAGACTAATTGCTGGTCTTTCCATCGTTCAACAAGAACTTTTTGAACAATTATTCTAAATGCAACACATTTTCCACAGTGGTAGGAAACACAGCTCCTCCCTAGGAAAGGGGGAAAGCGCTTGACTATAAACACCATTAATTTCTTATTTTGCATGAAGACAAACACACTGGATCCAGCAAATTCTCAGTTACTGTTTCCCCTTTGCCAGCTCTCATGGCCCAACCTGATCTCTACTCCAGCATAGTTCCCTCCTCCTTCTCAGGTCCCTCACCACACAGTGGCTGTGCTTTTTCACACCCTGCCTCAGAACACTGTTCAACTGCCTGATGGCTGAAGTCTCATAAAAACTCCCATGTTCAGGCAGAAGGAGCCTGAAGATTTATCTATTCCAATCTTATTCTAAAGATGAGAACATGGGTACCCACAGAGGTAAGTAACCAGCCCAGCCCAGCATCACACAGCATCTGTGACCAGAATTAACACCACGTCCAAGACTCTAGATAAAGTATATTATACCATTTTGGTTCATCTAGACTTGGGCTGGAATCTCATCTGAGAGTCCCTGGACAAGTTACTAAACTTTCCTGGATATCTGCATCATCTTGAAAGTGGATCTAACAGCATCTATATATATCATGGGTCATTTCAAAGTTAAAATGAGGTAATAGAAGGTATCTCAGCATAATGCCTGACACATACAAGTGGACAATATGTAACAATTATACTTTAAAAAATTATAACAATTCTCCAGTTATCTCTACTTTATTAAATAAAATTCTGAAGACCATTACTTTTTCTTTGTTCTTTCTTTTTTTGGTACTAGGGATTGAATCCAGGGGAGCTTTACCACTGAGTTATATCCCCAACCCTTTTTATTCATTTCTTCTTTCTTTAAACTTTAAAAGAAATAAAAACATTTTTTATTTTTATTCAAATAATAAATAATGTCTCCCCCCATATATTCTTTTTTTATTTGTTCTTTTTAGATATATATGAAAGTAGAGTGTATTTTGATGTATTATAAATACATGGCCAGCCATTTTTATTTATTGTTTATTTTGACACAAGGTCTCACCAACTTGCTCAGGGCCTTGCCATAGTACTTTCTTATATGTCTAGTACAGGAGTCTGTAAGCTTCCTCTGTAAAGAACCAGAAAATAAATATTTTAAGCTTTGCAGGCTAAATGGTCTCTATCACAACTACTTTGCCACTGTTGCACAAAAGAAGACATAAACAATATGTAAACAAACAGGTGTGGTGGTGTTTCAATAAAACTTGACAAAAACAGGTGTCAGACCAGGTTTGGACACAAGTCGGCCAACACTTCTATTCAAGGACCATTATAATCGATGTTTCTAACATAAAGATAGAGAAAACCTACATGAATTTAGCATAATTTTAGCTGAAGTATATTTTATAGCATTTTTAAATTGATAATTCATGTCTAATAGAAATTCAACTAACCGGAAATTTTTTTTATGACAATAATAATAATTAACACTAAGACAAAGATTTTCACATACAGAATCTCATTTAATATTTACAACAGTTCTATTAAGTTTGTGTTATTATGTAATAGCTCCATTTTACAAGGAGCCTAGATCTAGAGAGATGGGGTAACTTGCCCAAGGTTCATGGTATCGTGTGCAAGTGCACAGATTTGAACTCAGAGCTTGTTGGACTGTAGGGCCTTTGTCACTATTCCTCACTCTGGGGCCATACTAGGGAACTTAGATTACTATTTATCAAAATGTATACAAACAAAGCATGCATATTCCAAGGACAAAATGCATTTCTCAGAAACTTCATCATGAGAGTACCAGACAGGTAGGAACTAGAAAGTCAGGAACCAAGGACCACAGGGAATGCCTTTAAATACTAAAATAATATCAAGATTTTGCTCAAAACACAAAATACAAATTTCCAGGAGTTCTAAAATGATGGGGGAAATGGGTTAAGTTTAAGAAGAAAAGGCAGAGAAGTCTAAAGCTGGTTAGATAAATGCCTGAGCCAGTCTGGGGCAAACAAAGAGAGAGAGTGGCAAATGGGAGAGAACATTCTCTAACAATGGTGCTGACAAATCCCCACTGAGAGCGTTCTCTATGCTAACTGCTTTGTGTTTCTATAGGAATTGAAATTAGATTTTTAAAAAGAAAAAGGAAAGAAGAAAAGGAAGAAAGGAAGAAGAAAGGGAAAACAGAAATTCTGCCCATTGGACATGCATCTTATTGAAGGAATAAATGAGAAAATATATGGAATGAAGGATAGTACTAGTTTAATAGAGAAAAATAAATCAGAGGAAAGGAAATCTATTGCTTGCAATTCTTCAATAAGAATCAAAAAGACATTTTAATCCAAAACAGGATGTAAAATATAAGTTTTTCTGGAAGCAGTAAGATCTTCAAAGCTTCTTAATCAAGTATAAGGTGCCACTGACTAGCAAGTATACACATTAGAATTTGTCCTAACTTGGGAGTCAAATGGAAGGGTAAAAAAGGAAGAAAACTAGAAAGTGAGCATTCAGACCCAACATCTGGGGACTGGTCAAGCCCACCTGCAGGAGATCAAGGGAGGCTTTGATCACTGAGGATCGTGATCAAATATGACCATTGCAAGTGGCTCAACCCAGCTTTCATCTGCTTGGACCAGGACAAACATGAGCTGTATGGAGAGCACCTAAGCTTTATTGTCTTTGTCCAACATTTATGAAGTCTCTAATTTGTAACACAGACTTTGTTCCAAAGAAACCATATTTCAGGGGACTCATTACCTACCAGTAGATTTATTCTCCACCAAAACCTAAAAAGTCCCCACTCCCTTGTCATTTTGACTCAAGAGAAGCAACCACCCTTGAGAGGACAGGACGTGCTATGAGCAGTTGGATGGGACCAGGCACCCACAAAAGAAGTTCACACTCTACTTACGCGTCTCATTGACAGCTGGAATCCTCAGGGTGGCCGCTGCAGAATTCCCAAGAGAATTATAAGAAGTCACAGACACCCAGTAGGTCTCACCTCCCAGGTACAGCTCACACTGCTGGGTGGTGGTATTAATTATCTGTGTGAGGTTAGTGTTGTTTTCTGGAAAGTATGATAGGATGTAGCCAAATGTTTTCTCCAGGACTGGGGCTCCTCTTGCTTTCTAAAGCCAAAGGAAACACAACTTATTGCCAACACCAGAAAGGAAAAAGGCATTGAGACAGTGAGAAGTGGTGAACAGAGGTTGGGGGTAATGTTAGCTCTGAGATGCTGACCTACAATCAGGGAATTATCCTTCAGTGATGAATACATACCCTGCTGCAGTGATATTAACCTTCAAGTACCAGAAGAAGGGATTTGCTAAAAGGCATCTTGGTACCTTTCAGCCTTTAGCATAAGCCCAATTTCATGAGACTAAATGAGGAGAATGCCCAAACCAGTGTAAGCAACACACCTCCAAGTCTTTCCCTCCATCCCACAAGGCAGTCGCCCTGAGCAATCTCAAGCCTGATCTGGCCCTGACTAACTTCTTCCTGGAAGCCTGGAGGGCTAGAGAGTACCTGTGCCTTTGTCTTTCATCTCCACACCTCCTACCCCTGAGGATACAGCAGGCTTCCCTAGACCAGGCACCCTAGCCAGGCATCCAGCTGAGGACTAAGTCATTCTGGTCTGCCCTACCAGTCCCAGACCCTTGGTCAAAAGCCAATATGAGGGGGTGGAGGGGCTCCAAGCCAAACTCCCAATTTTCAGCCTTGAACCTGAACCTACTAACCAGATGTTTTGCCTAGTAGTCACCATACTGAGTATTTCCCAGGATTTATAGGGATTCCCAGTGTTTTTGTTCTCTCTTGCTGATTACAAACACAGATGGAGAAGAATGACTGGGTGTGTAGTCAGTCAGGGCTTTAGAAGTCACTTTGGCCCATTGCCTTCCTTATTCAGGAATTTCCTTTACACAGACCACAGCATAAAAGACCAGATAAAACACTATTAATGACTAATATGCTTTTCTCTCTCAAGAAAACCTGTTCTCTTTTTAAAACCACAGCTTTGAGATAAAAATCATATTCTATAAAATTCACTCTTCGAAAGTGTATTAGTCCATGGTTTTCAGGATATTCATAGACTCATGCAACCATTAGCACTATCTAATTTTAGAGTATTTTAGTACTTTTTTTTTTTTAACCAACTCAAATTCTTAGAAAAAGCTCTCCTGTCCAGGCAAAAGAAAAGCCAGTCCCCAGGCAAGGGGAAGTAGGAGGAGGTCATTGAAGCTGTCTTGCCTACTTCACAGGCTGGCTTACTTGATCCTTTCCCACCCCTGTGTAGTTAAGACCATATGTGGGTGTGTGTCATTGTTTATCTCCCTAAAAATTAATTATTGTGAGAGTCATCTGTTTCCACTCTTGATAAAAGAAATCCCGGCGTCTGGGATTGATTCTCAAAGATTTCCCAACCCTGTCTGCTGCCTCTACAACCTGAGGGTGTCCCCTAGGGTGTGAAAGGAGAGGGACAAAGGCAGGGGGTGTTCCAACCCTGAATAATTGGAATTGAGATGTCACTTGGCTAACCAGAGTGATTTCTCCATTTTCAAAAGGATTTAAACTTGTCTGAACTTCAGCAAGTAGGGGATTATTTAATGAGCATTATCTTGAGAATTTTGGAGACAACTTCTCCCAACTTCCCATCTTTTCTCTCCTACATCCCATGAAGTTTTTCCCTCTCTGTTTGTCCATTTCCTTTCCTACTTATTACCTCTCCCCCTCCTTTTCTGTCCTCTCCTACTACCTTCTCTTATTACCTCTTCCTTTCTCCTCGTTCCTCACTCCCAGGCCTCCACCCTATATAGGACCACATGGCCCCTCTTCTATCTTTGCACCCCAATATCCTGGTTCTTAAAGGGACACATGTGCCAGACATGTTGGCAATGACCTCAGGACACTGAACTGACCCCTGTCAGTGTTCCTCTTGGGTGTGTAGGGAGAGTCTTCACACCGGGTTCTAGTGCAGCCAGTTGGGATGGCTTATGGCAAAAGGTCACAGTGCCTCCTGTATTGTACTTCATAATGGTCCTAAATGTTAATGTTTCAGACCAAAGAGGGACCCAAGGTCTATAATGTGCATCGGGACATCTACAAGATGACCTCTGGGGCTCTTCTGAGCAGGGCAAACATTGAGATTTGAAGCATCATAAAGCCCTCTAGGAAAGGAAATTCGGGAGGTAAAATTTCAAGAATTATAGTGTTCACAGGGATAAAAGACCAAAGTTTTTGTTGTTGTTGTTGTTGTTATTTGTTTGTTTAAACAGGAAAAAAACAAAGAAGAACTCAAAGGAAGGTCACCTTCCAGAGCAACTGCACTGGCCTCCTTCCATCCACCTCAGCTGGTCTCAGGACCCTCCACAGATCCAGGCCATCTGGAACTGAAAGGAACAAGATAGGTGCTCAACTTAGAAGGGAATTGCAATAGGAGATGGGGAAAGTTTGCTGAGCTACTGGGTGAGAAAGGCAATGGAGAAGAATATGCTGGAGGGAGCCAGCTGAGGACGGCAGCGTGAAGAGATGGCAGCCTTGCAATGACCAACAAGGTGGTCTTCATTTTGTGGTTGAAGAACTGGAAGGAACCAAACTTAAAAATAAAACTGCTCATCCTGGCATGCAGTGGTGCATGCCTGTAATCCCAGGAAGGCTGAAGCAGGAAGACTGAAAGTTCAAGGCTAGCCTGGGCAACTGAGACCTCAGCAATTCAGCAAGAACCTGTCTCAAAATAAATAATAAAAAGGACTTGGGATGTAGCTCAGTGGCAAAGTGCCCTGTGTTCAATCCCAGTACCAAAAAACAAAACAAAACCTGTTCATCCCCAGTGCCAAAGGAAGGAAGGAAGAAGTGCACTTGGTCTGATAACTTAATGAAAGAGAAAAAGAAAAGTACAATACAACCCCATTGTAATATAATTGATGCCCCAAATCTGGATGGAAATATGTCTATAAAGCTGGGAGTGACACAGATAATTGATAAGAAATTATGTATATATAATTTATACCATGTGTATGTCCAAAAAGAATGAACTTGAGTACTTATAATGGTATAAGATGTAGGGGGGAAAAAAAGGAAAGTAACAAGGAAATAATCTTCACTGTTCCTAAATTTTTATTTTATTTATTTATTTATTTATTTAGCTGTACTGGGAATTGAAACCCAGGGTTTTACACATGCTGCATAAGCATTCTATCATTGAGTGAAATCCTTTTTCTTTTAGTTTGAGACAGGGTCTTGCTAAGTTGCTGAGATTGTCCTCAAACTTGCAATCCTCCTACCTCAGCCTCCACAGTCACTGGATTACAGGTGTGTGTCACCACACTCAGATACTGAGCTCTAAATTTAATGCTGGTCTTCCCAGCAAGAAAAGTAAAAAAGAATAATTTCTCATAACCTGATAAAAAGAAAACACAGAAATTCATATGAAGAGATTATTGTTTTCTGCCTATGGACACTAAGTTCATAAATAGGACTTATCTCAAAAAGGACACAGGGTGACAAAAAGACCAAAAACTGCAATCCCAGGTGAGTAAAAGCATAGAAATACAATACAAACATGTTTCTCATGGTTGTCATCTATAAAACACAAGGGCATAAATTCTGAGTCAACTTCTTTCAGTAAAAACACAGTCTGAGAGTATAGGTTTCCAATGATCTAACTATACAGGGACAAAATGTTCAAAAACAAGGAATTTACATTTCACTTTCTCTCTGGACTATTTCTCTCAAATGTCTCAAGCAAGTTCTGACAAGGGATGGATCACCGGCAATCTGTAGTTCAACGCTCCGACACGTACCTGCAATGTAAAAATGCTGACCTGCTGATTAAAGAATGACCTACACACTTCAGCTAGGAGAGGCAAGCAGAAGGTACTAAAGAAATGTCCAGGAGACTAGTGGCCTACAATTTGGAGCAGAGAGGAAATGAACCTAATGAAGAGATGCAGCTGTTGCTCTCTGAATCCTTTCTTGAGGAAGTTATGTGGCTGGGATGCTATATTAGGTCCACAAAGAATGAAGCCTACCTCTAAGGCCAAAATCTGAACTATTTTAGTACTGAAAGACTGTCTTCAGGGATCTTTTTAACTTTAAATGATTGGGATCTTACAGTGAAATGCGTATCTGCAACTAAAGACAACCTTATAATGTAGAAAAGTACACCAAAGGGCAATTAAGTCGATAACTTGTTTTGTCATCAAGGGAGAGTCACATTTCTACAACTATTCTTGCAGAAACAAAAGTATGAGTAAAACAGGCTAGCTACTAGGGTTAGCATCTCCCAGTGAGATCTATTGTAATTTCATTTAAACTGCTTATAAGGTGATTGGAGCTGTTTAGACTTCACATGTGACTTCACCTGAATTCCACTGAGGTGTTGCCTTAAAAGCTCTCCCAGGAGTTTTCTATTTCCCAACAGTCTTTGTTGAATGACAAGACAGAACAGCCAATACTCAACTTTCCCAGGAAGAAACAGGCTGGTTTCAGCCTGTCTATAAGACAAGTGAGACATAAGCGCAGGTAAAGCCTCTCTCAGAGACAACCTTAGTACAGGCCCACAAAACCATCAGACCTTCAAAGGTAACCCACAGAATTGGAGGGACTTGTTCTCTTTAATTTGCAGAATTTCTCTGTTCCAGTCATGTGGAAAGTCAAATTCAGGGATAATAATATTGGGAGTAAGAAAGAAAATTCTAAACACAAAATGATCATTACAATCCAGTCCTAAGTAGTCATCTCAAGGATAAATACATAAATTGATTATTAAATAATCATCCCAGGCATTTTGACTTTTTTATTTTTGATTAGAAACCTTAGTGAAATTCTCCTTAGATTTATCTCATGGGCAGCCACTTAGTTTTAGTAGACAGCAATAATGAATGAGTTTAATTGAGCATTTTCTTCTTTCATTGAGGCCATTATTTCTTGCAGATATCCAAATAGATTTTCCATCAGATGCAGTTTTTAGTAAAAAAAAAAAAAAACCCTGCCTGACTAGCATGTAAATCTTCTACAATTATTACAGTGAACTTTTCATTGACCATGAGTTGATAATGAATTTATAGTCTAACCAAAGGGTAGTGGGAGTAGTAACTCTGCATTTGTGGGGGAAAAAAATTGAATTTTTCCAAGTCCATCAAAATACCTATGTATTCTAAGGCATCAATTGCCTGGACTGATTTAGAAACAATTAGATGTTGTGCTGTGGGGATACAATATGGGTATCCCCTCAACCAATAGCAAGCAGATACATACTGATGCCCTTGCTAAAGACCAACAATAATAACAACTATCTTTTAGTAAGTATCACTATATTAAGCATTTTACCTGAATTATTTAACCCCAAATCATATATTTCATAATCCTCATTTCTGAAGCATAAGTAATTGCCCAATATCACAAGCTTCTAAATAATAAAGCTAAAAATTGAATCAAATTATACCAGTATCATTTAGGAAGTAGATATTTAATGACAAAATGTAGGTATACAGCCCTATTAATATGATGAAATCCAAGAGAAAATAGGTAGTACCTCACATTTAACTTAGAATTTTTCAAATAATTAGATTTGAAATCATATATACTAGACAACTAGCATTTCACTGTAAAGTAGGAAAACAAAGGGTTTATGAGTTGGAAAATCAGAAATTGGGATTTGCTGGGAGGTTGGATATGCATTTTCATCAATTTCCTCTGGGATCCTGAAAATGCTGGGGGAGGGGGAGCCAATGTTCTTTATGGGTAACTTTGACAAATAAGCGTTGATTGATTTAATTAGCAAACGAGAACACCAGCATCAAGTGTTTCTGCAAATTACTCTTAACCAAGCTTGCTGAGCTAATAGATCACATGAAATTGTAAATCTTGTTTCTGACAGCAAAACAAGTTGAGGAAACTGACATTAGGGAGTGGCTGGACTGTGAAGAACTTACCAGACTTGAGACTTTGAGCCATAAAGGCACCAGACAAGAAGAGTGACAGGCACAGAGAGAAGTGCTAGCCAAGGGCTGGGGTTGTGGCTCAGTGGTAGAGAGCTCAACCACCACATGTGAGGAACTGGGTTTGATCCTTAGCAACACATAAAAACAAATAACTAAAATAAAGGTATTGTGTCCAGCTATAACTAAAAATATATATATTTTTAAAAAGTGCTGGATAAAATACCATCCCACCCAAGGTAGTACTTAATCACCAAATTACCTGCTGAAAGGTGTAGCAGAGAAAAGATCAATGATATCCTGGGGCTTCATTGTAGTATTTTAAAGGGAGAGTTTAACTAAAATATAGACAATATGAACTATTTCAACAATACCACTAGGCCATTTTTTTATTGTGCAATTTATGTGCTGTTTGATATTTGTAAACTATTTTATTTGTATTGATTAGACATTTAGAAATGACATATATAGAATGTCAATATGTGCCAAATGTATGTAATTTTTAGTTTACATTAGGTCCACACCTTGGTTTTTTGTTTGTTTTGTTTTGTTGGTACTGGGGATTGGGCCTAGGACACTCTTCCACTGAGCCACATCCCCATCCCTTTTTTTTTTCTTTTTTTTTAATATTTATTTTTTAGTTGTAGTTGGACACAATACCTTTACCTCACTTATTGATTTTTTTTAATGTGGTGCTAAGGATCGAACCCAAGGTCTCACACATGCGAGGTGAGCGCTCTACCACTGAGCCTCAATCCCAACCCCCCCATCCCTTTTTATATTTTATTTAGAGACAGGGTCTCACTGAGTTTCTTAGGACCTCACTAAGTTGCTGAGGCTGGCTTTGAATTCATGATCCTCTGCCTCAGCCTCCTGAGCTGCTAGGACAACACATGGCCCATACCTTGTTTTAACATACATTTTTATTTCTTTAAAATAAATAAATAGGGCTGGGATTGTGGCTCAGTGGTAGGGCACTCACTTAACTGTGCTGTGGGGATACAATATGGGTATTGATTTTTATCATCACATAAAAATAAATAAATAAAGTCATTGTGGCCACCCATAACTAAAAAAAGTTTTTTAAATAAATAAATATTTTATACATATAAAAAAATCATGTGTGAGGCACAGTTCTAAGCACTTAATGGTTTGGTATTTTCTACAATTTTTTTCTCCATATTACTAAAGCAATGTATATAAGAAAAGAAGCTCAGAGTGAGAAGAGCTTTTGGAGGATGTCTAACCCAATTCCCCATTTGCAGCATATGTTCTTAAACCATAGCCACTAAGGAGAAGTCCAGGCTAAGCATGAACATCCATTGGGGAATACAAGACTCACAAGGGATCAGACCATTTCCGGAATCCTATCACACGAGTAATCTGCCAAACATCTGTTAATATCAACTTGGTCTCATGGGAAATTCACGCAGGAGCCAGAGGAATGAACTGTTGGACCCAAGTAGAAGCTGAATCCAGATGTTATCTGAGATCCCCATGGAACTTGGCTATCTTGTCTTTTTCCTTCCCTTTCTGTCATTAAAGGTGATTTTTTTCCCATTTCATTAGTTATACTTTATATTTTTAGTAGTAGCTTCAGGATTTAAAATATATATCTTTTATAAACTTCTTCAGGTAGAATGTAAGAACCTTATAAGAACATTAAAGAAGAGATCTTTTGCCTTTGGGATACAAAGATGCTAAGGTAACTAACATCCTCAGATGAGCATAGCTTGCTCCCAGGGGCTCAGTGGGGACTATAAGTGCCTGTGGAGAGGGAACATGAGGATTCTCCAGGGCTTGGGATCACAGGATTCCATGATTCTCAAGCCTGGCACTTGACAAAATCTACCAGGTCTAGGCAGAGACAGCCCTACACCAGAGCACAAAGACAAGGAATTACAGAGAGCAGCTTGCCTTCTTCCTCGGTTAGTCCCATTTTTTCTTGGCTCCAGTCACTCCAAAAGTATGATCCTTTGACCATACATCGCATGGCTATGATGTATTCTGTGAAAGCCTGCAGCCCCGTGAGGTTGTAGACCAGATCAACACTCTGGAAGTCGACTTCCACCTGCGAGACAGAAAAAGCTCTCAGCTGAAATGGGGGCAGCACATCTTCCCTTTCCACATTTCTGCTTCACTACTCAATGCTCTCTTACCTTTCAGAACTAGAAACAGTGTATCTCTGATTTTAAAATACATCATTTTCATAAATAAACCTCCACACCTGCCTGGGGACCTAAATAGATGTAATCACCCCAAGAACCACCACCTCCCTCCCCATTTCCTGTCTCTGAGCTTGGGAACAGAGATTTCCATCTCTGGGCCTGGTGAATGATGTTCTAGAAGATACAAGGCAAAACTCCATGACCCAGGGCAAACTGGGCCTCAGCTTAAACTCAGAGGTGATTTCAGTACCTAGAAATACAGTTTCACAGATCAAGGGGGTTAGAGACCTTGGCAGCATCGAGGTCAATACCCTCAGGTCAGGGTTGAGACCCAGGAAAGTTAAGTGACCCCAAGACAACCTCAGCATTTGTGACCAGTGGAACTGGAACCAGAACACAAGTTTCTTCACTCCCAGTTTCTTTCTTTTACCCCAATATTCCATTACAAATGATTGGTCTTGGAGTAACCCATCAAGCTGCTTAAAGTCTCAACAGCCTGGATATATAAATTCATTTTGACACTCTCTTGGGAAGAACAATGGCCAATTAAATCAGTTCCCTTCTCTCAATCAGTGTCACTTTATCATTAGCAAAATAAAGGTGGTGTTTTATAAAATTTCTAAAAGTCCTTCTGGAACCAACCCTCCTTGAAAAACTAAAAATCTATTTTTTTTTTAATTTCTGAGCACAGACATTATTGGAACAATGAAAATGGTTAGCTGTTAGTTTATTAAACTTATATTTAGTTGATTAATAAAAACAAATTTCACTAACAGGATGTCCATTTTATTAATACCCAACCAGCAAAAGAGGGAAGTTCTTACATGTATGTAACAGCTGTGAAAAGAAGTAATTAATTATAGTCCTTGGGTCTAACTGTAATTGGGCAAAAGAAGAAAGTGTGTCTGTGACAGAGAGCTGAGCACCCCAGCTACAGAGGGACTTCTGAAAGCCCAATCAAGTTGGGGGCAGAGGAAGGAGGTAGGACTTAGAGGCAATAATAGCATTTTCACTGTTAAAGCCCAGGCTCCTGGAGCATCCTCTTCCAAACAACCCCAGGAGATACTATGGCAACACACTAAGGTTACTGGGAACAAAACTTGAGACAATCTGTCATTCATAATGGGGTTATAAAAATAATTCTAATCCATATGCCAACTGTAAGGAGGTCTAATAATGCTCTATTTTACTTTTTATGCCTTTTAAAATGCAAAATATTTGCGGACACAGTGCCTATAATCCCAAGGGCTCAGGAGGCCGAGGCAGGAGGATTGCAAGTTCAAGGCCACCCTCAACAACTTACTGAGGTCCTCAGCAATTTAGCAAGACCCTGTCTATAAATTTAAGAAAAAAAGTTTTAAAGTGCTGGTTGTGTGTCTCAGTGGTTAAGTGCCCCTAGGCTCAATCCCAGTACCCAAAAATAAAAATTAAAAAAAAAAAACAAATATTCTTTTTAAATCTTTCTTAAAATAATCTTCCTAATTTTTCCTTCAGCACACACTTGGACTACTTGGTACTTCTCATCATGCTCAGGCTGAGAAAGCTTTGCCTCATTTAATCACTTAAACCTGCTGTTCCCAGCCCCGGCTACAGAAAAACCAAAACAGGCTGTTCAGTCTTTTCAACACTTTGCCTTTAAGGTAAATTGCCTTGGATTTATACCTTGGCTTTTGTCTAGTCGAGGAGCTATTGGCTCTCCCAGACTCCAGGCCTTCATACACAGGCTTAGATCTAAAGCCTCCCCATCTCCACCCAGGCCTTGGAATCCTACCAATACACTAATTAACTCCATCAGATTTGTTTCTAAGTCTATGCTCCGTGCCAAATCCTAGCTCACCCAAAGTGTTTGTCATAGAGATGAGTCAGAAGTTTTGGTGCAAAGCCTAAATCAAACTCTTTAAACAGTCTTGAGATCCTTTTCTAGGATATCCACATGGCTTCTAGGATGTCCACATGGCTTCATCATAAAAAAGGGGCAAACCCTGTGACAAGAACCGCAGGAAGGTTTGGAGGTTGCTGAAGTGTGGTCACATGAATGACAAACCTGGAATCAGAAAACTTGGGCTTAGGTTTGCAACTTGCAGACCCTGTGATTTTGGTTTATTAATCTCTCTACATCTCAATTTCCTAATCTATAAGTGAGGATAGCAATGCCTCATGTATAGGATATTTGCAAGAATTAAATAGGTGACACATAAGAAAGCATTTTGTTACCCATATAACATCATACAAACATGGGTCTTCTTATATGGCCACGATGGGATTTTAGAATTAGTTTTACATGGTTTTGTTTGGTTAAACTGATGTTTGTTGAACACAGCCATGTGACAAGCAAAGGAAAAATAAAAATGACAATCAAGGTACCTGCATTTGAGTTTACAGTCTACTGAGGGGCGAATCTAATGAGTTTAAATGTGTTGATTGTTAAGTGCCATGACAGAGACTTACAGAGGAGGGGAACCTCGCTCAGACCCTAAGAAAGAAATATATCTCATCTAAGTTCTGAAAGATGAATAGAGGGGCAGGAGCACAGGTACAAAAGCAGAGGGTGTTCTAAGCAGAGATACAGAATAGGGAGACAGTGTGCTGCAAGGAAAACAAGCAATCCAGAATTACTACTGAAGTAAGCGCAAAGTGAAAGACAAGGTTGGAGGGTAGGTGCGGCCTGGTCTCAGAAGGTTAAGGATTTGTACCTTTTTCCATGAGTGGGAACCATTAATATGAGGCTGGAGTGGGTTGGGTTGAGCTTAGCTGGGTCTAGAACTGAGGAGACTTGCTTGTGTTTGAAATCTGAAAGGAGAGAGTGAGTACTGGATGCTCTCTCTCCAGGAGAGCAGAAGGAAGGACATCTCACCTCATGGACAGAAAGAGAGGAGGCAAAGATGAATGCAGATGTGGGTGACTTTGTTAAAGGGTGGAGTAAAGAATGCCAAGAGTTGGAGCAACTTATATTTGTTGGCCTCACTTAGTGTTACACATAGTTGAGTAATTTGTCAGAGTGACATAGGCTCTGGTTTGTTTCTTGCTGAATCCTGTCTTAGAACATTTTGTGACTCTAGGACCCTACCAATAGAAAGAACTGGGGTGGCTAGTCAGTGCTGGTTGTGTGGCTGAACCACCCACCCCACAGTTCCTCAGGTTTGCTAAGTCTATGGCACTGGGCTTAAAGGAAGATGAGTTTGTGCTGTGCTGAAGCCTGCTCTGCTTAGGGGCTCCTTGAACTATAAATTGGTGAGTCCAATGTCATATAGTCAGGTTCAGGGAAGAAGGTTTCAGAGTTGGCTCAGAAAGGAAGCAGAAAGGGGGAGTGGCCAACATCATTCTCTCTGAATACAGGACAATGAAACTTGACAAATTTTCTTTTCTTAAAGCATTCTAGAATAGGATAGAACACAACAGACATCATATCTGAGGGTTTCTACTAGGAAAGGGTCTCATGATAGCTTCCTGGACATGATAAAAAATGACTGTCATGGTAATCAGGTGTATTCGTAGAAACCTGAGTAATGATTGCACTCAAAGAAGGCAGCATTGGGGCTGGGGTTATGGCTCAGCAGTAGAGTGCCCCCCTAGCATGGGCAGGACCCGGGTTCGATCCTCAGCACCACATAAAAATAAAAGTATTGTGTTGTGTCCATCTACACCTAAAAAGTAAATTTTTAAAAAAAGAAGGCAGCATTGATGTCCCATTGATGTACCACAGGGCTCTGATGCAGTTACTACTTTTTTTAATGATTAGATAAAGTCATAGAATTAAGTTATTAAATCTGAAGTAAGTTTATCATGTATTAAAAAGGAAGTAAAATGTTGAAAGTAAGTTTGGGGCAGCAGAATAAAGGTTCCAAGTGGAGTGACACGATGAATAAGGCCAAAATGAAGAAATTCAATAGGAACAAATACAGCATTTGAATTCAGGTTAAAATCTAACAAATTACTGGGTATGGTGGGGTCCACCTTTAATCTCAGAGACTTGGGAAGCTGAGGCAGGAAGATTGCAAGCTTTAGGCTCTAAACAACTTAGTGTCTCAAAATGAAAAATAAAAAGGGCTGGGGATCTGGTTCAGTGGAAAAGCATGTCTAGGTTCAATTCTCAGTACCAAAAAACCAAATTGTACAATAGTGAAGATGTGTTTTTCTAGCAAATTTTGTGAGAGGGGAAAAGTCTTAAAGACATCTCCATAATGTGAGGTGGTCACCAAAAAATGAAGGATGATATAATTTCAGGCTGGGATGAAGGAAACAGGAGAATATCTTCTGAACCCCAAGGTAAGAAAAGGTTTCTTAAAGCATAAAAAGCATTAAGCATAAAGGAAAAGTTTGATAAAAGTTGACATGATCAAAATCAAGAAGTTCTGTTCATCAAAATTCATCATTAATAAGAGAGCAAAAAGGCAAGCTGAGGTGAGGCAGAACATCAAGGCAAAAGGGTGTGGCATAGGAAAGCTGCTCAGATCATGGCAATCAGGGAGAGAGAGAGGTCCACTCACAAGGGACAAATTATATACCCCAAAGACACATCCCCAGTGACCTACCTCCTCTAGCCATATCCTATCTGCCTACAGCTACCACCCAGTTAATCCATTCAAGTGGATTGATAAGTTAAGGCTCTCATAACCCAATCATTTCACCTCTAATCTTTCTTGTTTTATCTCACACATGAGCTTTTAGGAGATTTCTCATATTTAAACCATAACACTTGAAATATAGTCAAGAAAAAATTATTTGAATGAGTGAAGTCATTTTAGAATTCTATAAATGGATCTTAAAAGCACAATATCAAGAGAATAAAACCAAACATAAAAAATACAAATTGCATAGATTCAATTTTTATGTTCCTCATGTATTTCTGCTGGGCACTTATACAATAGTGGGCACTCCTTAAATTATATTTTTCCAGAAAGCTGGCATAATGGTGAAATATTAAAAGCAAATAAATGATTACTGTGAAAACAGGATAGTAGTTAACTGTAAGGAGAGAGAGTGTAATCATCAGAAAAAGGTAATCAAAGGGTTCTGGAATGCTGAAAATGTTCTATTCTTGACTTTGATAGCTTTTACATGAGTGCCGACTTAATAGTAATTTGACAAATGCAATATATGTTTTGTTTACTTTCCAAGAGGTGTTATGCTTAAAATTTTTACTAAAGGTTGGAAAAAAACAGAAATGGTCAAACCATAGCGTATCTGATAACCAACAGACCTAGAAACAAACCAAGGTAGAATGCAAAAGTAAAATTTTCATTCTTTAATGTGTCACTGTGCTCAGACTATAATACACTTGTGGTAAAACACCTATCCAATCTAAAAGATGTGAATAAACAACTGAAAAGTATAGTTCTTAGAATGTTACTTTTCTATTTACAATGTAAAAAGTTAAAAAGATTCTTGATCAACAAAGTTGTCAATGAATCTCTTCCTCAGGTCCTCTAATAGAAATATTATAAAGGTATAACTTACCCAATGGGTACTATTGATTGTCCTGAATCGAAGCATGTATTTGAAATTAGATGAAGAAAATAACGAATCATGCCATTCCCATTTTATTTGCATCATTTTTTTGATGCCCGAAATTGGTTTCACAGAAAGAATCATAGGTGGTTCCATTTTCACTGAAAATAAAAATCGTACAATTCTCATATTTGCAAGAAAATGAGATGCTAATAACATTAAGTCCAAACTGAAAGCACAATAAGCCTAGAAAATAAATAGTAGTACACATTTTGCTGTTTGCTTTATGCAGATGGCATAGCAGGGAAGTGCAAAAGGAATGTCTCAACCGAAATTAACTCCAAAAAAGGATTACCTAATGAAAAGAGGATTATTCCTGAGATTTTTCTGCAAATAAGTCTTTTACTGATTGGGTCATATCTTATGCCAGAAGGGAGGCAAATAAATAAAAATAATAATCAAGACAAACTATAGTTACACAATAAACTACAACAGAAATTTAAAGAGAGACTACATACCAGAAACTAAGCTATTCCCTGTATTTACCCTCCTCTTGGCCTCCCTCTCCTTGATCCCCATGATTAAGGAAACCCCATTAGAAAGAACTTCTCATTTTCTTTTCACACTGCAAATCTTCTAGCCCCAATTTTCTCTCTATGGAAATGTGTGTTGTTCTGATTATAAAAGTAGCATGTGCTCAAATTTTTTTAATACACAAAATCAGGAAATTCTTCAAAACATGTTTTTTTTTAAGTTTCATAATATCTACCTTATGGATAAATGAAATTTATTTGACCACTTCTCTACTATTGTGCATTCATAGTGTTTCCAGTATTTTGTTTAAAGTTCCTTAATGACAGAGGCTAGTCTTGATCACAAAGTCCAGAATTAAAACCTGGCACATAGCCAGTATCAAATACTTGATAAGTGAATGAATAAACGGGTAATATATGAATCTTCCTCTAACATCTCTAATTATTTCCTTAATTCCCTTAGAATTGATTGGCTGGTTTTTCAAAAGGAAATACAGATATTTAGGTTAACAGCCACACAGTGCCATTTTGTTCCTAGAAACTACATCAATATCAGTTTCCATCAACAGTGTGTGAATACCCATCTCATCACACCCTAAAACTAGCTAGAATTTAATAGTACCATTGTGGATTTGGAAAAGCAAAATCCCTAGTTAGGGCCATATCATTAAAACACTGACTGCATTAAAATATTCAGAAATCTTTTAGTGACTACTCAAAAAATAATGTGTATTTTTTATGCCTGAACTAAAGGGTGACCAAATATATGACCACTCTATAGGTGGAGCTATAAACAATAGACATATTAAGTATTTCCATAAGATTACTGGTATTTAGGGAACACTTCATAAGTATTCTTGCAGGTGAATCATTTTGTCAATTCCTCTCAACCACATAACAAAGATGGCCATTTTACAGAGGAGATTTAGAAAAGGTAAATAAATTTCTAGTAACAACTAAGATAACACTCATTTATATCTATGCCAAAGTTCCTGCCTATATTTATTGCATTAAACTGTTTTTAGTCAGAGTAAACACAAATTCCTGTTATATAACCATTCAACTAATCAACTCTATCACCAAGGATATGTTATTAATTTTTTCCTGTGATTAAAATGGCTCTCAAAATAGTTCACTAGGAACTGGTGTGTATTGAGTCACATAAGCAAAATGGTAGACTAGGAAACTCCAAGTTTTTGTTCCTCCATGGAAACATTGAAAAAAAGAAAAACAAAAATGGACAGAAACTGAGTAGACTATGCTTGCAGGAACTCTGGAAACCTATCTGAGGTTTATACTAACCAATCTAGAATATCCAATCAAGAAAATGTCACCTTCAGAAAGGTAGGAAAAAAGTTTTATGGCAGTCTTATTTGCCTTGCTCCACATTGTCTGTGTTGTGTCAGTGGTCTTGGTAGAAAGGAGATGGCAACCCAGTTCCTAATTCCCTTCCTCCAACTGGAGGGAACAGAGTAGACCTTATTTACCACATTCTAACCTGTCTGAAGAAGAAAGGGCTGGCCTCTGTTTTGCCTAATTTGAATCTCAGGTTGGAAAAGTGTCAGGATCAGCTCATGAAAGCTATAGAAGGACTTCACACTTGTAGAAGCCTGGGGCAAGAAATTATGTAGGGAAACATAAAATAGACAATATAAGGTCCTAAAGAGAAGCTGAGTAAGATTCTTTGGAAAATTAGATCATTCAAATTTTGCTCTGTTGTATAGGATAATTGGGAGAGTACCATGAAGACTCAGACAAGAAGCATGCTAAGAAAAGACCCAAGCAGACTGTAAACTTTCACCTTGGATGGATCCCAAAACTCATAGCAAGCCTAGCTAACCTGTGAAAGACTGTCCCAGTAGAGTCAATATACAAACACTAGGAGAGGTGGCTATTGTTTCAAATATTAAATTTTCAACAATAATAAAAATGAAAAGAAATACAAAGAAACAAAACATGTCCCATTCAAATAAATAAATTAAAGAAACTGTCCTTAAGGAATCTCAAACATCAAACTCAGTAAACGAATACTTTAAAATCATTGTCTTATTTGTGCTCAGAGCTAAACAAAAACATGGACAAATAACTAAAGGAAATCAGAAAAACAGTGTATGAACAAAATAAAAATGTTGAAAAAGAAGTTATAAAAAGAAACAAAACAAATTCTGAAACTGAAAACTTCAATAACTGAAAATTTTAAAATTTGGTAGAGTGATGCAAGAGTAAATTTGAACTGGCACAAGAAGAAATTAGCAAACTTGGAAATAAGAAAATTGAAATAACTAAATCTGAAGAGCAAAAAGAAAAAAGAATGAGGAAAAGTTAATAGAACCTGAGAGACATGTGAGACATGATTAAGCAGGCCAATTATGCAATTGAGAGTCTCTGAAGGAGAATAGAGAAAGGAAATGTCACAAAAATTATTCAAAGAAATAATGGGGAAACTTCCCATTTGATGAAATACATGAATCTACAAGTCCAAGAATCCAAAAAAAATCCCAAGTAAGATAAACCTAACTAAAAAGACCCACAATTAGACAGTAAAAAGAAAACATTATCTCAAAAGCAGCGAGAAGCAACTCATAAACAAGGGATATGTCATGATATTATAAACTGATTTCTCAACAGAAATCTTAGAGGCCAGAAGGCAGTGGCATGGTATATTTAAAGTGTTGGATTTTTTTTTAAGTTGTGTGTGGTACTGAGGATTGAGCTCAGTGATTCCATGTGCTAATGATTCCAGAGCTATAGCTACCTCTGAGCTATACCATCAACCTTTTTTAAAAATTATATTTCGAGAAAGGGTCTTGCTAAGTTGCCCAGGGTGGCCTCAAACTTACAATCCTCCTGCTACACCCTGAGTAGCTGAAATTATAGATACATGTCTTTGTACCCTGAGTAATTGAAATTATAGGTATGAGCCTTTGCACCCAGCTTTAAAAACAAAAAGAAAAATTTAAACTGGGACTTCTGTATCTAATTAAACTGTTCTTCAAAACTAAAAGAGAAATTAAGACATTGCCAGATAAACAAAAGCTAAAGGAGCTTATTACCAGTAGACCTGTTCTAAAAGAAATGCTAAAGGGAGTCCTTCATATTGAAATAAAGGGATGCTAGACAGTAACTTGAAGCCAGTTGAAGATGGAAAGACCTCTGGTACAAATGAATACATGAGCAATCGAAAACAATTATTATGATGATTCTGGCTCATAAGTCCTTTTATTTTACATGGGACTTAAAAGACTAAAGCATTAAATTAATTATAAATCTCTATTAATGAGTATCTATGATATCCATGGCATCAAATGGGGAAGAATTGGGAAGGCATAAGTTCTGTATGCAATTCAAGGTAACATGGTATCAATTCAAATTAGATGATTATAAGTGTAGGTGATATATGTAATCCTCATGGTAACCACAAAGAAATTATTTATAGAATATACACAAGAGGAAATGAGAAGAAAACAAAAACATGTAACTACAATAAATCAACTAAATGCAAAGAAGGCAGTGATGAAGGAAATAAGAGGCCGAAAAGCTACAACTCATACAGGGAAAAGAATAAAATAGTGAAAATAATTCTCCTTTTTCAATTACGCTAAATGTAAAGGAACTAAACTCTCCTAACAAAAGGCATAGACTGGCAGACAAATTCTTTTAAATGATTCAATTGTATTCTATCTACTAGAGACTCACTTTCAATCTACAGTCAAAAGTTAAGTTGAAAGTAAAAAGATCAAAATGGCAGGAGGGGAGAAGGAAGATGGCGGCGAGGGGAGTGCATTGCCCCCGTGTGCTGCTTCACTGTGTGGGAGTATGACAAGTCAGGACGGCTAAAGGATATCTTGTTAGGAATTTCCAGCAATAGTGGGGTGCTCCGGAACCTGGAGGAAGGATTTCCATCGCACGAGGATCAGCTACGGGGACTCAAACGCGAGAGGTTTGTCGCACGGAGGGTAACACTGCTTATTCAGCAAATCGCCCCGCGGCTAGAGTCTGCAGCGCGCGCTGGGATAGAGACGCAGGGTTACAGTGCTGCAGTTTCTGCCAGCCGCGCAAGCACCGTACTCAGGGCTGAATTCTGGGTTCGAGACGGGGGAAGGAAGCGGTCCATCTCGGTTCTCCACACCGGTCAGACCACAGAGGAGGCCAGCAGCCACCATGTTGGTAAACTGACGTCACCACCACTGTTTTCGACTGACCGCAGCTCATTCAGCCATAGAACAGGTAATTTCAGGCTGTAATTCACCTGCGGATTGCAGACAGATTGCTAGGGTTCAGCGCCTGGGTGCTTCTTAGAACCTGATCTTATCGGAGCGAACACCGAGCGCGGGGCGGCCGAGTTCCGGCTCCCGGAACCGCCCTGGCCCAGGGCTGCTGAGCCTGCGGAGGCTGCTTCTTGGACCCTGCTCCTATCAGAGCATACAACAAGCACTAAGCAGCCGAATTCCGGCTCCCGGAACTGAGCCCGCGGGGACTGCTTCTTGGAGCTTACACTTATAGGAGCTTACACCGAGCACAGAGCGGCCGAGTTCCGGCTCCCGGAACTTCCCTGGCCCGGGGCTAGGAGCCCGCGGAAACTGCTTCTCGGTCCGGGTCCTGCTGAGGGCCGGTCAGGACTCACCCGG